ATTTATGTGACATGGCTAGTGCTAGCTTGCATTCGTTTGTGTTTGAGTTTACATTCATTGGATATGTAAAGTGTGCATGTAAAAATGAATCATTTTCGTTGTTAGAAAAGCAAGTTGTAAGTAATTTATAAAAAGCTAAAAATGCGTTGAAAGTTAAGTTTACAATTTGATTACTTTCACTGAGTGGTTGTTTTGGTCAAAACACACAATTAATTCGTTTCATTCGCATAGATTGTATTACTGAGCGAAAAAAAAAGCAAAGGAAAGATGTGAAAATGATGATGAGACTGGTTGCTCCTCTTTCCATTGGGTAAGTGCTACTTTTTACTCATTAATTTTTTGATATTAGTTATCAGTAGAGTAGAAATGATTGAAATTTGACTATTGTCTATAGCAGTAATTATTCATTGAAATACAAAACAAAACATGGACACAATTTATTTTCCAGAAGTGCGCTTGCTGCCTTCAGATATCGTCGAAGTGAAAAGGTCGAAGACACACTTCAGGCTATTACATTGCTCAATCAGAATACAAATACTGGGGCAGCTATTGAGTATCTCGAAAAAACAAGTAGTATTTAAAAATTAATCCACTCAATTATATTTTACTAATGCACTTGCTTTGCAAAAGTAACAAAATTACTTGTGTTAAGATGCTAATATGCAACTACTTAATTTGAATACGGAAGCTCGACTTCGACTTGCATTACGTGGAAGCTGTTTATGTGATCAAGTTCCCACGACTTCGACAGATGAATTGAGTGACTCAATCAGTATGCTGGAGGAATCTATCAAAAAGGTTTACAAGTTTGATTATTTGCTATCGACTTTGAATATTTATGGGAAGGAAATCTTCACGTTGTATGTAAAGGAACTGTTTTATTTTTGCGTTCGAAATGAATGGCTTAAAAAACAGTATGAATGAAAGATATTTTAATTCGGTGTGGTATGCTGATAAAAAGAAGAAAGTTATTTACTCTTCTACTCAAAATTGAATCACCTGATTGCTTATTGTCTTATACTTCAGTAAAAGTTTTCAGCTTGTGATCGATGATGAGTGGGAACAAACAGTGAAATGGTTGGTTCCGCGTATGCTTGATGAAGATGATCCTGCTTCTTATAAGTACTTTTTGAAAAGGCATCGATCTCAGGATATGCGTCTAAACCATTTTCTTTTTCATCTTGTTGCCAAAACCGAAGTAATTTTAGTTCGATGCTCCATGTAATATAAACAAATTTACTCTAACTCAATATTGATTTTCGGATATTCCGTCTTATTTGCAGAAGTATTAGTTACATTGTAGTACATTAATGTGAATATAATTTTGGTCTTATAGATCAACAATTTTTTTGTTAATATATGATTCAAATTCAGACAGAATATGGACGGGAACTCATTAATCAAGGCATTATTACTACATTGATGGGCCTTTGCAACTACTATGAAGGGAAAAATCGCAGCATTTATTTGAGTGCATTGAAAGTATTGGCAAACATTGTAGCACAGGATGAATATTGTGCAACAGCAGTTGTTAATTCAGGTTTTTAAAGTCCTTCGACAATCAAGTGTTTGCATGACTCGGTTCTTAATAATGTAGTTCTTTTCTAGAATGGCTTCCAAAGTTAGCTGCTATGGTTAATTCCCATGTCCTGGAAGAAATGCTGATGGCCGAAAAAGTGTGTTTTATCATTATTTGTGTTATTTCTTTTAAAAGTGGGCAATATTGTAAAATTAAGATTTTTATGGTAGTGATTCCTTACCCATACATATATATATAGAATGTTGTTCGGAACTTATCTAAAGCTTATTTAGATTTGTAATATTCGTGTAATTTTATTTGAGTCTGAACCAACGTAGCCTTATAGATTTGCAGCAATGGTTTAAGTGTTTTTGATAAGAATAGAAATACTCTGAGATCTAATATTTATGAACTTTATCGACCGGAAGATGGTACACCGCCACTATTTGATCTGGTGCTAGTTCATGGTATTCGTGGCAGTGTTTTCTGGACGTGGCGAGAACGAGATGATCCAAGGAAAACAATGCGTACTCGGTGTTGGCCAAGGGTAAGAATTTTCACTGTACAAATAATTTGTTAGCTGATCTTTTCAAGCGAGTTTTTTGTTAAGTGACCAATTACAGGCATGGCTGCCGCAAGATGTTCGTGTTCCAATGAGGATAATTGCCATCGATTATTTGTCTTCTCTTGTGCATTTTACAGGAATTGTTGAAACAATGAATTCTAGAGCTCAAAAATTCACGAAAGATCTCAAAGCAGCTGGTATTGGTGATCGACCTGTCTTGTTTATATGTCATAGTATGGGTAGGTCTTCCAAGCTTATGTTAAGAATGCAACTTTTATATTTGTAATTTTAGTAGTATATTAGAACTAATTCAAAAATATTGAACTTTACAGGTGGTCTGTTAGTTAAACGTATTTTACTAGATGATCCAGATATTCTGTCTAGAACTAAAGGAATATTGTTCATTGCTACACCGCATAGGGGTAGTCCTTACGCGATCTATGCTCCTTTAGGTGTACGACCATCTGATGATGTGAAGCTTTTACATCAACAAAGTGCGATAAATAAGCAGGTGAGCTCTTTTTTGTTCTACTAGGCCTCTGTTATTTACCTCGTAGTTAGAGACATCAGTTTATTTCTTATGTTTCAGCTTCATGAAGATTTTCTTGAAATTACTGATGCTATTCCTATAATAAGTTCTATCGCCGAAACAGAAAAAGCACCTCTTATTATGCGCCAAAGAGGTGTATTGGTACCACCAGAAAGTGCCTATCTGGAGCGTGGTTCATTTTATCAAATAAACGATGTAGTTTTCCTTTTTTTGCTTCTCTTTTATTTGTCTTATTTCTTGCTCTTAGACAACCTTTTCCTCACTCATCTGATCTGTATAATTATATAGAGCTTTATAATAATCGTCGCACACAATTTTTATTTTTGTATTTTTACAACGATCCCTATAAATTATAAACAATATAAAACTGAGGCTTTTTCAGATACATCATAATGTTTGTAAGCCTACAGATCAGAAGGACCGTATATACGGTATAATTTTACTATTTTTAAATGATGTAATTCATTATATTTTGAAAAGCATGGGTTGAAAATTTCGGTAGTAATCTATTTACAACTCTTCTGACCACTTTCGTCCTTTTATTTAATAACTATATTTTTTGTGAAAACCTCCAGAATTAATCGTAAAATGATCCATATTAGTTAATTATCCCAGTTACTGTTTGTCTTTTAACATTTTAAACGATTTTTTAGAATGGTGCTAAAGCCACTTACTTTGTTTTACTTACTTTTTCACAGTTTGTCTTACTGTTACGTACTTTCTGAAATGAATTAGTTTGCTGGTAATAGTAGTTATTACAACGTTTGTTACATGACTTATATTAATCACAGTACTTTATACCTTTTTAGTTGCACTGTATATGAAGTTTACTTAACAATCAATATTAGTTCTTTTCGTTGTGTCTGGTTAATTCTTGAGACTGGTGATTTTTTATTGCAACTGTAGATAAAAATGTTTTTATACACATTGTGATCTCATCATCAATTATGTTTCTGTATAAACTTTTCTTATCTTGAAGTATTTACCTATGTTGAAATTTCAACTTTATTTTTGATTCATAAACACTGATCAGATGTTTTAAAGGTAATGGGAGAATTAACTCAATGTATTTTTTCTACTGTACGTTTTCCACCCTCCTTTTTTAAAAGTTGGATATTAGAAATTGTCATTTCATGTGTTATAGCCTTGCACATATCATATAATGTTAAAGCTGACACTGAAACTGCTGTCAAAGCTTCCATTTCAACTCCAGTTTGTGAATTTGTTGATACTGTTGAACGGATCTGAACCTCGTTTTTTTCCTAAAGTAAGATTCAGCCAAACGTGTAGTCTTTTTGACTGTCAATAATTGTGGTCATTTTTAAACGGTCGCTGAAAACATGTAACATACGCTGATTAATTACCTCAAGAAGGTCCATTTCAACCTGTACGGCTGTTAGCGGAATATTGTGGCATAGTGGGATGATTGTTGATGTTGATTTTGCAGCTATAATTCCGGCAATACGTGAAACACATAGAACATCTCCTTTTGCTACTTTGTTCTCTCTTAGTGCTTTCATGACTTCATCAGTAATCTAAACTAATTTCCTAACATATTTAAAATCAGTAAATCTTCCTCACAGAAAATTTGAATAGCCATCAAAATTGCTAGGAATATACTCACCTTAACTGTACATTGTGCTGTTGCTTTTCGTAGCGTTACTTTTTTCATGCTTACATCGACCATTTTTGCTTTACCAGCATCATTTATATGGTTGAATGTTTTGGAGCAATGGCAATAGATATTATATAATTGACTTCCCGAAAGTAAGTTCCTATTTGAAAACTTTATAAAGTATTTTTTGATTCCTTCCATTTAATCTGTAAGAAGTCTGTTATGAGTTTTAGTAATGTAAACTCGAAAACCATGATCTATTTTTCATAGTTCCTACATTGGAATATTTTACTTATCAGAGAGTAGTCAATCATGTGTATGATCTCTTTATAAATTCTTCACCAGTATAACTAAGAACTGAACAAATTACAGTAATTGCTTTCAGAAATTTAGATGATGAGTAATTGGAGTAGTTACGGCTTATATTTTGCATTTATACTTTTACTTGATGCGAAAATCCGATCAGAATTTCGCTATGAAACTACAGCAGTGCTTCATTAAAGTAACTAGTTATTATTCTATTAACATATTGTAGACTTGGAAGTAATAACGAATCTGTGAAAAAACATAGTTCCGAGAGAAATGGTACAACATTGATCATCCTTTATCATTAATATTAGTATTGTCGAATTCGTTAATAATTCTAATCATGCCCAGTGATGAAAATATTTTAATATAGAATTAAGAGTCAGTTGAAGTTTCCTTGTTTTGTCTCATTTAACCTCCGATTAAAATCATCGGTCTATTACTCACCTCCATCAGTTCTTTGATGCCTGAAATTGTATAAATAATACTTTATTGTAATTATAGATTCATTATTTGATTGCTACAATATTATGCTCAATACCTTCCACAAATTTGGAATTTGATATTGCACTAACCAGCATGTTCTCTTTTTTTTTGTCTTATGGCTTTGATAATCGCTTTCTGAATATCGTCATTTGTTCCTCCACATCTCATAATATCTCTGAGTGAAACTTCAGCTCTGTCATGTAAGCATACCTTAAAATACATTGACTGTTGTAGTGAGTAATACTTATTTAGAAATTAATTTATGAATTGACAGATAGATAGATACCTTTAAATTTCCATCTGCAGTTATGCGAATCCTATCACAAGTACTGCAGAAACTGTCCGTGATTGATGATATAAAGCCAAATTTGCCTTGAAAACCTTCTACTTTGTAACTCTACAAATATTTATATCCCATTATGTTTTGTCGATGCAAAATATAACTTGTTAGGAGGAAGTAACAATGTTCAGTTAAGTAACAAAAAACTCTAGTTTTAAAAAAAACCAACTTTACTTGTACTGTTTTGTTCATCTTTAAGTCTCACGATTTGTGGAAAAATTTTATCCAAAATTTTCAGTAATTCTTTGTAAGGTACCAGTTTCTCAGCAGCAAAATTATTTCCCGAGAAAGGCATGTATTCGATAAATCGTACATCAATATTCTGTAAGTCTTGCAGGAAAAAGTATTAAACTCTAACTTAATTTTTCAGGTCATTTAAAATCACATATATCGTTTAAATTAAAAAGAATAGTTGAGAAAGTACAAGAAAGAAAACCTTGGCTTTGGTGATTGCGACGAAATCAGGAACTTCAGAATCGTTAAAGTTTCTTATGACTACATTGTTTATCTAAATTATTTTTTCATTTCGGATATTAATATAATGAGTGGAACCTAATGAAGAAAAAAAATATGATTTTGCCATTGTCTTAGAATCGAATAACTGACCTTTACAATTTGAAATATGTTAGTAGCAGATTCAATCGTTTTTAGAACATCAGTAAAACCTTTTTGACCGGTAATATATAAATAGCGTTCTGGATTTAGTGTATCCAAACTGATATTCACTCCATGCAAACCACTTCTCGCAAATAATTCTAATTTTTTTCTAATCGCTAACCCATTCGTAGTCATCGTGATATGCTCAATTCCACTTATTTTAGATAAATTCTCTAAAATTTGTCGCATTATATAATGCTTAACTTTAATAATCAAGATTTGTATCGTATTGTTCAGGATATTCTAAGTAAGCATTACCAATAATTTCTACTAAATCCTTGCGTAATGTTGGCTCACCACCTGTTAATCGAATTTTTTTAACTCCAAGTTGTGCGAAAATAGTAGCAATACGAATAATTTCATCCAAGCGTAGAATGTCATTTTTTTGACATAGTTTGATCCCTTCTTTTGGCATGCAATACTTACCTAAAGTAGTAATCAAAAGTCGCGCCTAGCTCTGGTAAATTTTAGTGCTAGATAATCTAGTGAATTGCATATATTTGTAATTTTTATGCTTTAGGACTTCATAATCGAGAAATAACAGCATAAATGTTGATAAACTTCTGACGAACTAGTTTCTTCACATCAAGTAAGTGTACACTTGTGAAAAACGAACATTTCAAATTACATTTTTCTACTAGTGATATTCTTAAATACTTATGTTTTCGGCCGTAACCGTCCATTAATTTGTTGTCCTCCTTAGATGTCGCCATCTTTAAAGCAGTTGGTGCTTTTTTCAGAGTCTCATTTGTTTGCGAAGAATGAAGTACTCGGTAACTTTTTGTAGCAATGCTTAGCAAATCTCGTTTTGGCATTTTTTTTTACTGAAGATAAATAAGCATTACTATCATATATTACTTCTTACTCATGAACGCCAATTAAAAAGCGCTGTGCTCCGTATATAGTACAGTAAATAACACTGTTGTTTCCATAGTTCATGGAAACAACGATTAAAGCAGATTATAATATAACAAGAAATGAATGAACGACGTGAAACTCCTAATCACTAGATATTGTAGCCTGGTATTAAATAATTAATTACCATGATAGAAATTAAGCAGTCGTACTTCCTGGTAGCATATACAGAACTGTCAGACGACTGATTGTCGTGTAAAGAGCGTTGAGATAATTACTACGAACAAATAATTCCTCAGCGATAAAGCACAGTGTATGTACTGCAAATTGCGATAAAGATATTTCTGCAATGTTATTTAATCATAGCAAACGAGCCGAAATGTTTCATAAAAACTTCTATGACAGGAAGGTAACCTCTGGTAGCACTTCTATTTTCTAAATATAATAAATACAAAATAATATTAAGTGATTGCATATGTTAGCCTTTTGTGGCTTGATTAAGCAATCGTACCCTTTTGTGTTGTACTACGTAGTTAGTGCAGCAAAAAGTGCGAAACAACTGTGAGTCTACAGTGTTTAAATCATCTAATTAGTTTGTGACTCATGAGTTGCGATGTGATAAGTTCTATCTTTTAGAAATAAATGGCAAGAAATTGTATTTCTATAAAGCATAATTTTCGGTCCTTAGAATGTAGAGCACGCGTAATGTTTGAGCACGAAATCAAGTCTTGCTAAATTTGTTAGGCAGAATCTTACAACAGATTAAGTGGTGGTAAACAATTTTCACTTATTTTAAGTAAACAAAATACAATATGCTGTAAAACATTAAAGAAAATTTTGGTACGAACAATTTCATTGCTAAAGGAATGAGAAATAGTGAGTATAACACAGTAAGATGGCGCACTCTCTCATATATTGCCTGGATCAACAAATAAAATGACAGCACCTAACCTCGCTTTTGTATGTATGTTTCTAACAAACAATTTTCAGACAGTAGAAACTCGTTACAAGACGACATTATATTATTAAGAATACGCAGAGAACAAATAAACAGCGTCATAAATGCAAATAATAACCAACTATTAAAAATTTGATTTGTTTTTTTACGTGTTAAATCACAAGTGAATAGAAGTGCACTGGTCAATTTTTTAATACGGATTTTTCATACGCAACATCGCTCTCAAGAAAGGGTTTATTTTAGATAGAAAAATAACTTCATAAAAGGTCAGGAATAAAGACATGTGTATCAAGCTAACAAAAAATATTGGTGTGAACAGCGTTTAAGTACTTCCGAAAGTCTCACTAGAATTATTGGATCAAGAAAATATGGAATTGTAAACAGCCTGATAAAATCAAGTGGAAATGTGAGTCGTTCATGAAGGATTATTTACTTGAATTCCTTTCACATGGTGACCACACAGGTACAATTTCTTCTGGTAGTGGTGTTTTCCCTTCTATCAAGTCCGCTGCTTTTTCAGCAAGCATAATGACCGGAGCGTTAAGATTCCCACTGACAATTGATGGCATCACTGATGCATCAGCTATCTATAAATAATGTTGCAAATATTCATTAGTAAGCTACTATTTTCAACTAATTGACAAGCGTTTTAATTCATTTTCGCATGAAACTACTTGTGAAAAAGAATATGTGTCATACATAAAGATTTTCTAATCCATAAACGCCCATTGTTTTCGGATTGACTACAGCAAATTCATCTCGTTCACTTCCCATTTTGCATGTACAAGATGGATGATATGCAGAGACAGAATTTTGTCGAACGAATTCATCAATCTGTAATATAAAAGAAAGATGACACAAGCAGAAAATTAAAACGATGTTTCTTGCGAAGCTTAAAGTTGATCCCACAATGACTTTTTATATAAAATTAAATAAGATAATAAACCACATCACACCTGTTTATCACTTTGACAGTCTTTTCCTGGTGATATTTCGTCACCACGATAATTGTCGAAACTGTGCTGACCTAATAATGCCCTAAAACAGTATAAAAAACTATTTCACAGCGACGCTTTCAACTTGTCTCGTAATAATGAAAATCTAACTCATCAGAAAGTATGCACAGTACCTGGAAATCCGCAGAGCATGTCTGAATTCAGTGAAATCATCTTCATGATCCAAATAATTGGGATTGATTAGTGGATGTTGCCTTGGATCATTACTAGCAAGCAATATTGCACCTCTAGATTTGGAACGCAACGGACCAACGTGTACCTGAATCCGTTTAATATAAAGATATAATGTTGGACGCATTTCTAGTGATTTATTGAGATAAAAGTAACGACAATTACTTGAAAAGCATGACATTTTCCGTTAGCACGTCCATCATCATGCACTGTAGAGGGGAGAAAATGAAACTGAATATCTGGATGAGGAACCTAAACATACTGAGTGAATTTAACTGCATATCCTACTAAACACATGAAAAAAACAAACAAATCGAAACTAGGAAGCAGACCTTTACTGTACTTCGGACGAAGCCACCAGATTCTAAATGACTACTCGCACCAATCCCCGTATTTGAAATAAACCATTCCAAACCAATCTTGACCATATTGTGTGGAAAACGCCACGAGCTTTTGTTATAAAGTGTTATGGGTTGCGTACATTTCTGAATACCAAAATTTACTTCAGGCTTAATTACTCAAATACTCGATAATTTCATCTCTGCTTCAGCAGAACTAATAATAGCGAAGGGAATTTTAAAACGAAACCTGTTGCACATAAATTTCGAGATGATCCTGCAAATTCTTCCCAACACCTGGTAAATGCAAAAGTATAGGAATGGAATGAGCCTGAAAAGTCCGTTTAAAGCATGAGCAGTTCCAAATATTCCCAAAATAGAATTCGATAAAAAAATATTGAAACATACTGCTATATTACTCGATGGTCCAACACCACTCAGAAGCAATAATTGTGGAGTATTTATTGCACCTCCAGAAAGAATTACACCTTTTTCACAGAAAATTTTTTCACGATTCCAAGAAGTGATGTTATCTGTAAGAGGACCATTCTGAAAAGCAAGAATAACCATCCCAAAGTTACAACAGGCGTAAATTAACACTGCAATTTAAATACACTGGCAAAATCTGATCAGTTCTTAAATGACTGTCTACTGGAAACTTTGTAAACTATTCCACTGAAAACATGTAGAAACTCAAGTATCATCTGAAAGAACCTTGAGCATCACACAAACAGAAAAGTTACTAGAAGTTACAAACCCAAAAGGAACAAATACTACAATGAAAGTCTTTTTTTTTACAAGTATCAATAGTAATAGGAAATAATCTTACTTTTCTGATAAATTCAATTCCAATAGCTTTCTTGCTATCAAATAAAATACGTGTACACAGTATGTTTGATGAAGTATGTAAATTTGGACGTGACAGTGCCTAAACAATAAAGGTATTATGACATTAAAGGCATCATTATAAAAGGTAAATAAATACTAATATAAATTTAACCAACAGGCCACAAATAAGCTCTTGATGTACTCCAGCGTAAGCCTTTATAAACAGTGAGATCCATACGAGCTAATCCCTCTTGCTTATATCCATTTATATCATCCACAACGCCAATGCCGTACTGTAAAATTAGGAGTTTTTTGCATGCATGAGATAATTAAAAACTTCAAATAAAAATTTACCTACCTGATTACCCGATTCAATGAAGGCTTTGTGCAACGGATTTTCGCATTTTCCTTGTGTAACGTGAAGTGGACCATTCCAACCACGATAAGCATCTGATGGCCCTTTCGAAAGTTCATGAGATTGAGCTTTTTTAAAGTAAGGGAGCACATTTCTGTAAGCAAAGACTTTAAGAAGTTTGAAAAACAACATTTGGACTTCGAATTCAAAATAAAATACAAGAATTAAGCTTAAACGAAAAATACTTGTACGACCAGTCCGAAGCTCCTTCTTTTTCCCAGCGGTCGTAATCAAGAGGATGCCCACGAACGTAAACCATTGCATTAAGAGTGGAAGAACCACCCCAAACTCGACCACGTGGCCAATAAATTGGTCGGTCATTCAAGTTCTTTTGCGGTTGAGTGTAATAATACCTGCAAATACAGCTTGTATCTGAACTACAACCACTTTCTCCACCCAGTATAAACTACTTTTTTTTATATCATTCAAAAAATCAAACGTAATTAACAGAAGCATGATCTTTCTGTCAATTTTCATTCCTCCATAGAAAATGCTTATAATAAATTTTTCAAATATGACATAAAAGTGTATTCTGACTGTTGGCTAAGAATGTTGACTAATTGTAAAGGAACAATAATGTTTCATGAAAAAAGTTACCAGTTATATTTGTCATCACAAAGATTGTACATAAGAGCTGCAGGCATATGAAATTTCCAATTCCATTTTGAATCACGTGGTCCAGCTTCTACTAATAATACACGATTGACTGGATTTTCCGTCAATCGGTTAGCCTGAAAGAAAAGTTTGTCACATAATTATGTTTAAATATTTGCATGCTGCACTTTTAAAAGAGATTTTCCGGAAAATGTATACGTAAGGCATACAAGAACACATCCAGCGGAACCTGCTCCAACAACAATATACGTCGGTTTCTTATCACCTAAAGCTGGATTTATGTACCCGAAACGCCTGCCCCAACCATAACGTCGAGTAACAACAAATGCTATATTTGTGTAGCACTTAATAGCAGCTACTCGTCCAGTACAATTTCCTGGCATTTTCTCGA